GGATTGTCAAGATAAACAGACTTACGCAGTTTCCATTGTGTAGCGTCCCACACTGGAAGTGGAAGAAAGTAGAACAAAAGGGAATTTGTATAAAACAGATAGACCATGAACTTAGAAAAGCATACCTTTCTCGGCCTTTTGGCTAAGATCAAGTGTAGTATCTGTTCTTATCAGTTTAATATCTGATATGTGAGTCATCGACTCACACGATATTAACTTAATTTTTTTAGGGGGAAAGTCTACCACGGTAGCTTGCTATCAGGACTTTCAAGCGTCGCCTTGGTGGTGCACTACAACCTTGGCCTGGCACACCCCACCAAATCTATCTAAAAAAATTTGGAAAACTTAGAACAATGATAACTATTTGAAGTAAGCTTTATACAGCAATTCATTATACTTGGATTACATAATATAAGTAACTATTTAGTTACTTAAAATTTGAACCCAAGGTTCTTACTTTTTTACTTTCATTATGAGTATCTCCACTAGTACACAAATATCATGGGTATGCTAAAATGCCTGATATTTTCACTTGTTTGTCCTGAAACAACTGAAAGTTGTAGAGAAGCTAACTGAAACAAATTTTAATATCATACTAAAAGTAGTTATAAACAGAATCATTAGAGACAGTTTAATAGTTTATTGCTTCATAAAGCCAAAGAAGAGTCTCAATCTATCATGAGCTAAGCAGTTTTTGGTGAGATGTGTAGTACTTCTAGTGTCAAGCTTCTGATCTCTCGCAATATTATTGTCACTGATACATGAATCTGCAGACATGGTCGACTATATAGCCCCTCTAGAGGCGGATCAGGATCCAGAGTCAGTGAATTCAAAATGAGTGCAATCTTATTATATGCATACACTTTTTTCCCGCATATATATACATTACTTGAGTCTAAAGCAAATGGTCCGTTGGAACTCACAGAACTGGCCCTTTAGAAGCAACAAGAAAGCATTTAAGTATATTCTACGATCAATACCTCGTTCCTGGATTGGAAATGAACAATGAAAAAGAAGGCAGGGGTGCACTGGTAGTTCTTGTAGGCATAATGTTACAGAATCCTAAACGAGCAAATAAACCATGCTACATTCCTAAAATCCTCTTCCTAAAATGATAGTTACAAAACCTCATAAACCTGACCCAAAAGAATAAGCATCAAATCCAAATTCTCCCCCTTCTAACATGGCTCCATCTTGTTGCTCCTGCATCACACAAATAAAATCCTTTAGTATATGTTCATCTATGTCTTGCAATATGAGACAGCACATACATATGAAGAAATTATATATACTAATCCAAGTGACCAATTTAAGAGTCATTTCCTCAAGAAAAGCTTGACCAATTATACTTAGAGTTGAGACTGAGGATTTAGGTAAAAAAAAAAAAAAAAAAAAAGGACAGCCCGGTGCACTAAGCTCCCGCTATGGGCGGGGTCTGGGGAAGGGCAAGACCACAAGGGTCTATTGTACGCAGCTTTACCCCTCATTTCTGCAAGAGGTTGTGGAATTCATCTTTATTTCAAAATCAATAGTACATATCCAACTAACATTTGTATGTGGCGTTCTAGATTACCGTTCAGGTCTTAGAATGTAATACTTATAACTTCAGAATAAAACATTTGAAAGCTTTCAAAAATACGAAAGCAAGTCCAAAAAAGGTTATCTTACCCGCTTCATTGCACTCATAAGATCATCAAGGGAGCCATAGCCCTGAGGAAGAAAACCAACTTGTTGCTTTGTTGTCTCCAAGAGATAGTCTTCATTAGTCCTCATCCTCGAGTCGGGACTATGTTGTATGAGTGCCGAAGAACCTCCATTTGATCTGCCAATCAAAGAGACGTCTACCCCTCTGTAGACCACTTCATTGTTTTGGTCCATACTATGGGGTAAAGACGCCACGCCACCATTGCTGGAAACTTGAGAGCTCATGTTGCCAAAAATATGGTTTGAATTCTGGGAATAATGTTGGTTCTGATCCGGCCACCGTTGGCAGTGCACTTGGTTCATTATCTGAACACCACCCCCTAAACTTTCCAGGCATTGTGTTTCTCCTCTTGAAGCTTCAAAAGGTAGGGATACTATGGTCGAGGAAGAAAAATCAACGGTGCTGTTCTGCAAATGAGGGCCGGCTGAAGTGCTATTCTCTCTTACCCTATCTTGAGGCAAATGGCTGTTACTAAAAGGTTCAGTCAAAGGAAAAGAACTTGATTGGAACTTCACAGGCTGGATAGAGTTTTGGCAATTCTCAGTATATCTACTATGGTCCAGAAAATTGGACGAACCACTTACTCCAGTATTAAAGGCATCAGAGCTAAAAGAAGCGACGTTGAGAGAAGGTTGATTTCCAAATCCTCCCCCTGTCAGTGGTTGCTGGGAGTTCACTTGAAGCAATATAGGATTATTTAAGACATTGGACAACGAGCTGTTTGAGTTACCAACCACAGATCTAGAGTCCGTGAATGTACTACTGGCCGCTGTGAGCAGTCCGTGCTCATCCAGAGGATTCAGTTCTCCCATGTGTATGGCACGTTTACTCTGCTGTAATTGATCAAGCTCCAACGATGCAGGAATTCCATGGAATAAACTAGCATTCTGGCTTACAGGTGGAACATTTGGATTCAACTTCGTAAAAGAATTCATGGAGTTGCTTAAACTTTGACCATGATTAGGTTGGAGCAGCGGTGATGATGCCAGACTGCGAAGGCTTACACCGGCAGGACTATTTAGCCTGCCGAGCATACCTCCTGATGCATATGATGATGATAAGCTGGCCTGACCATACCTTCCGGATCCAGCCAATGTTCGAAAACCACCAAGCCCGTCAAGTGAACCCATTCGCATGTACGCAGAATCTTTTCCACCTAATGCGGCAACCATGTTGGCTTGCTGGGTTGCTTCTGAGCTGATCCTTTTCAAGTAGAGCCTATACTTCTGTGACACAAAAAGAAAAGCCTTATTAAAACTTTTCAAACTATATACCTTTGTGCTTCTCTTAAGAAAAGGAAATTACGCACAGGACAACTCATAGAACACCATTGTGATTGTTATAGAGAATTACTGCATTGCTTCCCTTCATTGTATTTCAAATGCTAATTTAAAAATAAAATGCAGACATTAGCTAACAAACATTTGTGTAAATGTAGCAAGGAAAATTTCTATATGATCTTTCCCATTCTTAAGTTCAATAGCCAGCTAAACTCGTAAAGAAACCGGACTCAATCGCAATATATAGAATTATAAAAGAACAAAGAGAGGTTAATGCCTGAAGATGGCTAGCCACATTCTCTCTTGTAAGTCCATCAACATTCATCATGTCGAGAATCCTCTTAGGAACAGCTTCTGTATTATAAACAAGATGAACAGTCCGTTAATATGGAAACATCCATAATAAAGATAGAAAACGACTACCATACTAATGCTAAAGAACTCACTTTCAAGGCCTAACTGATTAACAGCTGCAACAAACTTCCTATGAAGCTCTATAGACCAAACAACACGAGGTTTCTTCTGAGTTGTTGGATCGTCATCGTCATTTCCATTTTCATCGCTTTCATATTCTTCATCCTTCCTTTTCTTGTTAAGCTTCCCGTTTTGATCTGAATTACCTGAAAGCTGCGGTCCTTTGCCACCTTCTCCGCCTCCTTGATTTGCCTTGTCTTGATCATCAGACTTGATGTGGTTCTTAGGTTCAACTTTCTTTTTTCTTATTACATGTTGCCATATATTCTTCAGCTCCTCAAGCCGGACAGGTTTCACCAAATAGTCACAAGCACCGTGAGTTATTCCCTTCATTACAAGTCTACTATCACTGTTTGCTGACAACACTGGACAAAATAGTTCAATATAAGTACAGGGAAAGATATTCAAAGCTTGATGCAAGAATATTTTATCTACCGGAAGCCAAGGGGAAAAGAACATCAAGGATAGATCTAAAAGTAAGAAAAATGAAGGCATTTATACAGTCGGACCTCTCTATAACAACGTCAAGTTTTTCTCCGAACCAACTTTTTATGTTATATTTTACCTATCTATAACAACCAAATAATATTTAAACGTCAAATGTTATTATAGGTGTATACCAGTCATTCATACTAAAAGCCAAGGAAATGTCAGAACACACAAAGCTGTTATAGAGAGTTTAGTTGTACTTACTTATGACGGGAAGATCCATCTCAAGACCAACAAGCTCCAGAAGTTTAAAGCCATCCATATCAGGCATGTGGACATCACTGATTACCAAGTCAAATCTATCTCGGTTTTCCCTCAACATCTTCAACGCCGTTCTTGCCTGACTTGTTGTAGTTACTGTGACACAACAGATCATATTCAGAAAATTTGCAATGTAACTAAAGATTTTCTCCGCGGAAAAACCAATGAACATCTGAGAGAAAATCAGTTCTAGGAAGTTCCAAACGACAGAGACCAAATAAGTCAAATCTCCCAATAAATTTACAGTGGTACATGAGCTTAGTTGAACTCCAATGAACATATGAGAGAAAACTAGGCTTCAAACCGGTCTATCCATAGGACAAATCTATGTTGCTCGGACTCTTCGAAAATATTGTCGGATATGTGTCGGATCCTCCAAAAGTAGTATATTTCTGGAGGATCCAACACCGGTGCGGCAACATTTTGGAGAGTCCGTGCAACATAGGGACAAATTGAAAGATCAAATTCAAATATGTTCATAGGAACCATATTGATAACTTTAACTTAGAATGAAAGAGTACAAAATGGAGAATTTGGACTTTATTTTTAACAGTTACATAGTACTAAAACTATAAAAAGAAAAGCCTAAAATTAAATCAAAAGAAGTCCAAAATTACTCTTTTCTAGTTGACTTTCATTGTTGAAAAGCCACAATCTAATCCAAAGGAAAAATGAACCATGCATGACCAGAAAAAAAAAAAACTAAGTGTCAACTAACAACAATGGAAAAACATGACAGTCTTGGAATTATGAAAAACAATAGAAAATCTTTTTCTTAGAGTTGAGATCTAAACTACTCCTTTTACTGCTCCAAACATAAAAAGATCTAAACTGCTCCTTTTGAAAGTCTGAATTAGAAAACAGTTACAAAAAGAAATGGAACAGAAAACAACTTCTCAAACAGCAGAAATTGCAATTAGCCTCAAATTACAAACCAATTCAGTAAACTTTACAACAACTCCAAATTAAACCCCAAATGAAAATACTGAAGATACCAAAAGAATTAAGCAAAAACCATAGAAGAAACATACCATGATATTGGCATTTCCTAAGCAATCCATCCAATAACTTCAAACAAATTGGGTCATCATCAACAGCAAGAACTCTCATACCAACAGGAAAATTATCATTATTCTCCCTTTCCTCCACAGTCATCTTTAAAACCCCAAATTGAAAAATACCCAAAAGCTAAAAAATATCACTTAAACTGAATCTTGAGAAAAAGATTAAAACTTTAGCACAAAACCATAAAAAAATTAAAACTTTAGCATATTTCCTCTAATTTCCTCCACAGTCATATCTAATACCACAAATTGAAAAACACCCAGAAGAGAAAAAAAGATCACTTAAACTGAATCTTGAGAAAAAGATTAAAACTTTAGCATAAAAACATAAAAAGGGTCACTTTCTTAAATCTTTCTTGAAAACCCAAAAAAGCTAACAGCTTGACTAAATCAAATAACTGAAGAAAAGATCAATTAAAGAGACAAAGATTGAAACTTTTGGAGTTGTAATAAGTGAAGCTGTAAAATAAATTGATAGGGATGGCCTAAACAGACTGATTTTTTTTCAATTTAACAAATACAATACACCAAATAATACACACACAGAGAACCAATCAAGACTTTAACTTTTTCTTCTTATTATTATTCTCTCTCTTCCCTGTGTTTGTCTTTTGCTTTTTCTGCTCACAAAAAGACATTGGTAGTAATAAAATAATGATTTTTTGCTATGTTTATATATGGACATATTGTTTTATGTAGTTTGCCAGTTAAGTGAATATATATAGTATAGTTTTGTTTATAGTCTTCTGTGTAGCTTCTTTTCCAACTTTACTGAACAAGAAGCATGCTTATTTGGTACTGAGCTTGTAGACTTTTAAGGAAATGATCACATGTGACTCATCTCTATCTACACTTTTCACACCCAAAAAATCTTGGCCTTTTTTGTATTCTCATCATTCGGTGTTCGATACCCGTATTAGAGTTCCACTATATCCGGATTCACGCCGCATAGGACCCCATTCGGGGGGAAGCGCTCCCTACCAAAGATTTTTCCATATCCAAAACTCGAACTCGAGACCTCTGATAAGGGAAGAGCAGCCTCATCCACTACACCGCATCCTTTGGCGGTACCTTGGCCTTCCATTTTGGATACTAAGAACCCGTTTGGCCATTAAAAAAATTATTTTTTCGCAAAATTTTTACTTTTTTTCCGGAATTAGTATTCGGCCATAAAATTTTTAAATTTCACTTGAAGTTTAATTTCTAAGTGGGCGTTTGAACATAAGAATTGTAAAATTCCAAAAAAAAAGTGAAAATTTTTTCAAGGAAAAATGGTATTTGAAAATTAGAGTTATATTTGGACATGAATATAATTTTGGGTTGTTTTTGAAGTTTTGTGGGTGATCTGAGTGAAAATTTTGAAAAACAGCTTTTTGGAGTTTTTCAAATTTTCCAAAAATTCCAAAATTATCTTCAAGTGAAAATTGAAAATTTTATGGCCAAACACTTGTTTCGAAAAAAAGTAAAAAAAAAATATTATGTCCAAATGGGCTATATATCTTTCAGAAATTTGAAAAATTCTAAAAAAATTGTTTTTCAAATTTTCATTTCTAATCAATCACAAAAATTCAAATACAACTCCAATTTGTATTTATGTCCAAACATAACTCTTAGTTTTTCAAGTATCAAAAAAATCACTTTTTTCCAAAATTTTACAATTCTTATGTCGAAACGCCCACTAAGTCAAAACTAATTGACTTTTATTTAATTAATCATATACTTAACAGTTTAAGTGTTCTTGAACCTTACTTGCATTTACCTAATCTAGAAACATTGCCAACCAATGAAGATTTAAAAATATTTCTTATTTTTACATCTTTAATAAAGGAAAAAAGAGACTTATTAGACAACAAATGTTAAGACATAAAGTTTACTGAAATTAGAACTTATAACACCAAGGTTCGAACTGTAACGTCTAATTTTCTTTTCTTATTACAGTAGCCACATGTTAAATAAACGAGTTTTTTTATGTTTATTTTTCTAAATAATTTATTTAGGGAGATTGATGGATAAAAAGTTTAATATTATAAATGACTAATTTTCTAAAAAATGTTAATATTTGTTGAAAAAAGTGAGATGATTTACTTGGGAATTCCTGATGCAGCCTTTAGTTATGAATTATATTATACAATTAAGTGTTTTATTTTTTTATTCGTAATACTTTTTTTATCTAGAAGGGTAAAATTATTATCCGTGAAGAATCTTGTCTAATTAATGATGATTTAGGACTTAAATGCTAATGATGTTTTTCCTTTTGTAGAAATGATTTAGAAACCTTCATTTCAGCTACTATTACTTTCTTTGATTTGCGTGATTTAAGGTTTTATTTTCAACTTTTAAGGAAAAAACTTCCCATTAATTAGTTTATGAAATGACTAATCAGCCCATCCATGAGGCATTTGTTCAGTACGACATNGGGGGTAGGGGGGTGCGTCACTACATAGTTGTATCACTAATTCACTATATACGTACATGAGCTACAGCAGAAATTCGTTAATTTTAATAAGATGTTCTAATTTTAATATATAAATAAATAAAATATGCTACACTTAAGAAGGGCCTATTAAGAAGGCTTCGTTCCTTTGTTTTTTGTCAATCAAAGAGACATATATTAGAAGTTAAGTAACATTACAAGGAGCAATAGTCGTTGGTGTTACATCATTACGAAAAAACATTTGATTACTCCCACCAGCGTGTACTACATTATCCATACTAGGGTTCGTCACACTATCAAGACAAAAAGAGATGGGTTCCACTTCAAGAGTTGTACGTAAAGGTCGTCTGTAAAGCGTGCCCCGTTGGTCTACTAGAAATTCGTTCATTGCAAAAGGAGGTGGTTGCACAAAAACAGTTGTGGAGGCATTGTATGTTAATGTGGTCCCATATTTGGCGAGTGTATCTGCTACTTGATTTTGCTCCCTGTAAGGTCATCTCCAGCCTTACCCCTATTCCTCATAATGGGAATAATTTTTGGGGTAATTTAGCTCCAACCCTCCCCCATTTTTGTCCCCAAAATGGGGGATGAATAGTATTCCCTCAAATATGGGTACACTATTCATCTCCCCCATTACTATTCATCATTTTTTTATTATTATTTTTTTATTTAATCTTTTAATTTATCTCTTTATATATACATAATTATATTTATGTAATGTCTTTATAATATTAATTTTACATCTTAACTTTGGTGTATAATTTTGATAAATTAATTTTCATGCATTTATTATTTTTATGTAAAATTGTAAGTTAATTTTATTATAAGTTATAATTGTACAAAAATATATAATTATCTCAAAGATGCTCATTTTGCACATAGAAGAATTAAGGACAAAGATGCTCATTTTGCACTTCGTAATGCATTAATAGATCATTTATGGCAGAATACTAGAGGTTGAAGTTGAATATTTATATAGTATTTCGAATGAATTTTATCGTTATGTAATATGTATTTAATTAATCTGGTATCGCAATGATTTCACTTTTATTTGAATTATTAGTTAATATATAATAATTGCTTACAAATTATATTATTTAAAATTTTATGAAATTGTTTTAATGGAAATTACAAATTAATAAAAATAAAAGATGGAATTTGTTTAATGGAAATTAAAAAATGAAATTGAAATGAAAGATAATAATATAATATAGAAGAGAGAGAAGAATATAAAAAAGTTTGGGAAAAAAATGGGGGAATGGTTGGAGTAAGTTGTCCCCAAAATGGGAAAACCCCATTTTGGGGATCAAAAATGGGGTAAAGGTTGGAGATGCCCTAAGTGTGCATGACCCATGGTCTATCCAGCTGTTGTAGGAGGTACCTGCATTCATGCGTTAAAGATGAGTATTGTGGATTGAGATGGCGGAGTAGAGAGATTACCTCAGTGGAATCCACATTAACTTCCAATGGTGCGAGTTTGTGTTGTAGAGCAAGTCGTAAAACTTCTTGTAGGCCAGTGAGTTCCATGTAATGATGATTTCATGTTGGCCTTGTACCCGTATAACCTAGAACCCATTTGCCCGTTGAATCTCTAATTACACCCCCAAACCCCCTTTTTTGGTCCATTAAGATATAGGCATCGCCTGAATTTAATTTATAATACCTATGTGTAGGAGGATTCCACTTAACATCTATGTAAGTAGGAGTATTAGTGTGTGTGTTATGTGTAATACCCAGATGGAAATACTCAGCAGCTTGACCTAGGATGTGCTGAATATTTGGAGGATGATTGATATTTTCAAACACAAGGCGATTGCGACTTTTCCCTATGTGCCATAGGGCATAAGAAATGATAGTAGGAGAGTTCGTTAGAGTGGTAGTAAGGTTATTGTGGAGTATGAAACGCGAAAGTTTTAATAGAGTTTGTTCGTGGAGTGTTTGAAGATTTATGTTGAGATGTTGAATGCCTACTTGTTGCCATACTGTTTGTGCTTGGTGGCATTCAAAGAACAGATGTGCAATAGTTTCTTCAGTGAGTTGGCAGACCGGGCACAATGAATTGTGGGTAACATGGATAGTGTAGAGGTAACTAGTCGTTGGTAATCGATGATTGTACATTTGCCATAGGAAATGTTTTATCTTTTGAGATAATTATAGTTTCCATAACCATTGGAAAGAGGTGTTGTTTGATTTGGTACGTAGCTGTCTATAGAGGGATTTAACTGTGAAAATCCCGTTAGGTGTGAGACTCGAATAGATGTGATCATGTGATTGATGATTAGTGATGGAAAGGATATATTGATTATGGAGTTGGTGATGTAAATCTTGAGGGAGCTCAAAAGGTATTTTAGGAATATTTAGAAAGTTCTCGTGTACATAAGATGCTAGGGTGGAGCAATGGTCATTGCAGGGTAAAGGCCATGCAATTAAGTTTCTAAGTATTAGGTTGGTTCCTATCCAAGGTTCTGTCCAAAATTTGATGTGATTTCCATTAACAACATGCCAGCGAATGCCAAGTTGGCATGAGGCCTATCCTTGTTGGATGGCTTTCCAAATAGAGGAAGTATGAGTAGAAGTGGTTGAGTGTGAGTATTTTGAAAGTATAATTGAAGCCCAGTGGGATGAAGATTAACTAAACAATCTCCAGGCTAGGGATCCTAGTAAGGCGCTATTTTTGGCGGCTAGATTATGTATTCCCAAGCCTCCACTAGTTTTTGATTGTTGGATGGTTTCCCAGTTAATAAGGCGTAGTTTACGTTTTTGAGGTGTGGATCCCCAAAAGAAATTACGATGATATCGTTCTAACTTAGAGGTAATATGAGAGGGGAGCTTGATCATTTGCATTACATGATTGGATAGGCAGTTTAGGGTTGCTTTGATAAGAGTGGTTCTGCCTGCCATGGTAAGGCAATTTATTTTCCATCCAGCTAGTCTATTCTTAAAGTTATCAAGCAAGAATTGAAAGTGAGAAGTTTTAGGCTTCTTTGTGAAAATATAATATCCTAAGTATTTGCCAAATTTAGATCTTTCCTTCATGTGAAAAGAGGTAATCATTGTTTCTTTAGCGATTGGGGAGTTATTTTTTGAGAAGAATTTTTTTGATTTATTGTAATTTATAATGAGTCCAGAAACTTGAGTAAAAAAGTTTAAGGTATCTATGATAGTGTTAATGCTATTTGTAGTGTTTTTAAAAAGAATAGTAATGTCATCTGCAAATAATAGGTGAGATCGTGGTGGTCCTTGTCGGGATAATTTGATTGGTTTTCATTTTTGGTAGTCCACTTC